TGAGCATTGAGTAAACAATTATATACTTATTTTGAAGTTAATCCTCTGCATTTCTTTCATTTGAGGTTGGGTTTTTGGTTGTGGGTTTTTTTGTTTGTTTGTTTGTTTTATTTTTTTAAACAAGTGAGAGAAAACAGTAAGCACTGCCTTAAATGACTGCTTAGCAAAGTGGTTTACCGGGAGAATTTGGCTTCTTCAAACAATATATCCCCTTCCCCCCCTAGCAAGAGGAATACTACAGAAGACCATGTAATCTTGAATGTTTATTCAATATTTCCATCATTCTTATCATGGGTTTTCTGTAAATGCTTTAAATAGGTAACCAAGCCTCTCAATCACAGCCTTTATGTTCTGCAGTGTTTGTGCAGTGTGATATTTCAAGCTCATGCACTGGCACAGTTGTCAGCTCCTAGAAACCGGCTTAAACATATGGGCATGAAAAGACTGGTTTGGGAACAGGGTACTTAAAATTTCCCAGAAAGGAGCTGTAATCATCAGGTGATTGTGGGAAAAGACGTACTCAAACCGAAAAACACATCTCCTTCCTTGAATGTTTCTTCCAAGTTTCTTTCAATAGCTCAGCTGTGGGCTGCAGCACCGAGGCCCAGACTGTGCCCAGGAGCTGTGCTGGGAACCAGTGCTCCCGCTCCAGAAGTGATATGCTAGTGCCGTGCCTCAGTTCTCCTACCCCTGTCTGGTGGACAGGTGGACACTGCCACTGTGCTGATTAGGTGTCATTACACAAATTAGTTCAGTTTAGCTCTGCCAGACAGCTTTACAATTATGTTTTAAATATCAAAATATCAAAAAAGCTACACTGTGCAGAATTTAAATCCTGCAAATTGATAATTATATTTCAGAAGCTTTCTACTACTAACAGAGGTTGCAGTGAATACACGTATAGACAATTGGAATTATAGGATACCTGTTTGATGACTAGCAAAAAAAGCTATATAAAAATACTTATTTTCCAAAGCAATTTCTACAGCAACCTATTGTATTTAATACAGTAGCTGGAACTTCTGCTGTAAGCCATGCTAATGCTCAAAACACAGAATGCTTTTGAAATTTGGGTCAGCTTCATTACTTCCACAAACTAGGAGGTTAAGCCATCTATAAACATATGGGCTTAACAACCTCAGATGCAGCACTGCGTATCACCCTGTTATTATCATCCCCACAGCAGGCTGGGGTTTAACTGGGTAAGGGTGAGCTTAGAGCAGAAATTGCAAACAGTGAGACCTAGCTGAAGGCTCATGAAGATAACATTCTACAGATTTCCAACAAACAGAAAAATAACCTGTTAGCACAAAGGAGGGCCTGCTTTTTTGGTGGTAAGCAGTTCTTTTAGACCATGGCAATCTGCTTAGGAGCTCTTGGTGCTGGACACTGTTTGAAGGAATCCTAAGGTACTGCTAAGAAAGCTATTCTGTAACAAATGCTGCATATTAACTTTTATTTCCTCAGTTCATCTTGAAGCATCTATGGAGAAGAATTATACAAAGACAAACCAGAGGAACAGTCATTGCTTTTTGTTTTTCTCTTTAGTAGGTTATCTTATAGAAGAGTTATTAGCCACAAAGAGGTATTTGGACAAAAAAAAAACAACCCAAAAAAACAAGAAAAACCAGCAGTTTGAACATAGAATCATAGAATGGTTTAGGTTGGAAGGGCCCTTAAAGCCCACCAGCCCCAACCCAGTGCTGTGCACTGACTGCCTCTCACCAGCTCAGGCTGCCCAGGGCCCCATCCAACCCAGCCTTGGACACCTCCAGGGATGGGGCACCCACAGCTTCCCTGGGCAGCTGTGCCAGGGCCTCACTGCCCTCTGAGTAAAGAATTTCCTCCTAACATCTAACCTAAATCCCTTCTCTTTTAGTTTAAAATTGTTTCTTCTTGTCCAATCACTATCTGTCCGTGTAAAAAAAAAATAAAAATCAATTTCTCTCATGTTTATAAGCTTCCTCTAAATAATGGAAGCCTGCAATGAGGTCTCCCAAGAGCCTTCTCTTCTCCAGGCTGAACAAACCCAGCTCCCTCAGTCACTCTTCACTGACTGTCTCCCCTTTGACTGAGAAGCATAGATGCAGTAGATGAGAATTTTCCCAGTGATGTCTATAGGGTTTTGACATCCCTGTAGGGATTAAGTTTTTCTTTCATATTGGTAGTAAAGTGTAAATCTTCAGTTTCTGTAAGTTGCTTGAGATTATTAGAAATTTAAGCAATATAATCTATTAAACCTACTTTATCAACTAAATGTTTTCTTCTTGTTTCTATTCCCAGGCCTTTTCATTTAGGCACATAAGCAATAAACATGCTTCCCACAGAACGTTACAAAAAATAAGATAGAAATAATAACCAAGACTGAATAAGCAAGAAATTACACTTCAATATATTATTCAGAAAAGAAAGATAGCAAAATATTCCAGCTCTACACTTTCCTCACCCCAAACCAAGCCCTGATGTGTAGGATACCCATCTACATTGGAGGAGAAAGGCTAGAACGCTCTCACTGACATTAAGTTATATATGAACGACTCTAACTTGAGCCCTGAGCATTTTAGCTTTCCCACCCACATGCCCCTGGCCCTCCAGAAGTAAGTCAATAGCACATCCATAACAGCTGGTTGTGCAGTGGCCCGGGGAGATTTGCCTTGTGACCTTTGTCCAGCTCCTCCTGGGAAGTATCTAGGGAGAGGTGTCAGCATGGCAAAGCTTGCATTGCCAGAGCTGGCACTAATTAATGACCTTATTGTCCATCCTGAGAGAGGTCAAAGACTAATGAGCTGATCTAAATGACAGATACATTTGCAGCAGCATAGGAGGCTCTTAGCTCTGCCACTGTTGTCAGAGTTCATAAATTATCACCCAGGTACCTTTGTGAATACCTTTATGTTACATTTAAACTAGAGAAGCAGTTAGTGTCAAGTGTTAAAAAAGTCTTTTTAAGTTAATCTTCTGTGGAGGAGTGAGTGGAGGTGAACAAGGAAAAGGCAGTTCTCTGAAGTCAAAGAGCCGTGCAAGGCAGGCAGCACAGCACAAAGCAATAGCTTTGTTTTCTGCAGCCAGGGATTTAATAGGCATGGGAAACAACACTATCAACCCTTACATGAGGTCTGTAAAGAGTGGATCCTGACTCCACCCCTTCTGGTCACTCAGTGCATTGCATATACCTGAGCTCCCCTGGGCTGGCCCTGCCTTCCCACCAGATGCTCAATCACTGGTTCAGGCTGTGACTTTGCATTTCTACAACAACAGGTCACAGGAAGATAAATGACTGTTTATAAATTGACCTTAAAACTTGCAATAGAAGGCCACATCTCTTAAAAAAATGCATTCACATGTAATCTGGGACCAACAATTGTTTCTTGAATACACAAAGCAAAACAACAAAGAAAGGGAGTGAGCAAGCATATGAGGAAAAGATGCGTCGCTCATCGCACTTTTCTCACATACCTACAAGAACAAAATCTAGTTGCTACAACTTGATCGACACAGTTAATCATCTGTTGAAACAGGAATTACAAGGATGCATAAAGTTCAATGCATCCATAAGTTTCCACCTTAAAAAGGTAGCTGACAGATTTCCTCAGGGCACATACAACTATTTTGTGAGGCTAACTTTTCTGACACAGGCTTCACACAAAACAGCAGCAGTATTTCCTCCAAACTTTCCATAGATTTGACGTGTCAAAGAACGAATGGGAATCTTACATAATCTAAACAGCTTATCTGGTACATTGTAGAAATTAATGGGAAACAAATGCACTCTCAAAAGTTTGTCATTCATTACAACTATTTGTTTCCCAATTTACCATTAGACATTTAGAAGAAAAAGAGAGCTAAAGATAAAAATGTCTTGGCATTGTCATTGCAGCTAATAACATACTGTAACAAAACAAGCAAAAAATTGCACTGTGGAGAAAAGGGGAATATCAAAGACATAGATCAGTCAATCAACAGGTCCTATGATCACTATCAGCAATTCCTCTCTTCAAAGAAGGAAGGAACTCACTTTCTATGTTTTCCCATACATTAAACACTGAAACAACTTGTTTACACTGGGACATTTACCTGCAGCTTCCCAGACAGAAAGGAAAAAACACACTGAGAGCAAGATTTGTTGGGACAACCATGGCAGTCACCAAAATGGACAGAAGGTCTCACACTGAAATTTTGTGACCATTGACTATCCAGAGAGCACCCTGGCTTTTTGTCTGTGAATGGATCAGGCTTGAAGTATTTTCTGCTTTCAATTCTATTCTAGGTATATATTTTTACCTCATATCTACCAAAATTATGGGAGAAGTAATTAGAAAATAAGGTAAAATATGCTAAATATATATATTGTAATGATATTAAGCTGTGTACTTTGTGCGCACTTGATAAAGTACTAAATCATTGTATGTTGACTTGGATCTTTACAAAAATTACAAAAAAAATTGCTGAGAGTAATTTTTTTTTTCTGAGGTTGTAAACTAGCAGAACTAAGCAGAAGTTAAAATGTTTTTCAGCAGGAACTGTTCATATTTGATTACGAATATTCTTGACTGCTTGTGCTTTATGTTGAGGCGTACAATCTAAACAACATCATGAGAACCTTGCAAGGTTCTAACTCTCATTAAATGCAACAAGTAAAAAAAGGTCAATGAAAATGTGATGTATTCTGAAAAGTTTATTGATATGACTAATAACTAAGTGGAATCATTTTCTATTGAAATGCTAGTCTTGATGCACTTACGCCTTATATTTTGGATGGCATGCTACATTACAGAGCACTTTCTCCTTCTTATGTGTTTCAAAATATGAAGTCCTAGTACACACAGAAACTCATCAATCAGGAAGAACTCAGTAGTTTTACTTCCAAATAAAATCTCTTCTTTGCACAATCATGGTGCAAATGTAAGTTCCTAGTGCAAATGGGTTAAGATCATTTCACTGTCTCCAAAATGGTTATCTTCTCTGGCTATAGGAACCATACATGATCTGTACATACGTACATGAAGTTCACGCAGCCCGTGCCGGCAGGTGGAGCAATCCAAACAAAACTGAGATTGGTGGTTGGGAGATGGCTCACATGTGATGCAACCACACTGCACATGAACTGATTTCCGAACTGGTGGTCAGACATAATTCCTACAAGAAAGACACAGGGGAGATAAACAGTAACACATGTTAATGGCCCTTTGCATGGTGCTAACAGATAGAGTAATACATCTACCATGTGTTTCATCATGGCAATATGCAATGTGAAAAGCCAAGAGTATGCCACAGACTAATTAGTATTAATGCCAATGAAAACATTGGAGCTGGCCTTCGCTTGAGCCAAGGCTGACTTTGGCTGCATGTACTTGCTATCATTATTCTTCATGAGACCAATACCAGAGGAATTATTTGCATTTTTAAAGGAGAGAGTTGGACTGCAGCTGCTGCAAATCAGTGTTACTCTATTAACTGATTTACATACATTATCGATCTAAAAGAAAATAAAATCTGAAGGAGAAATCTCATGTTTTAATTAGCAAAATGAAGCTGATAGAAAAAGGTGTTATCTTTTAGTAGAAAGGCACATCTACTTGGAAAAAAGCAGATGAGCTGTTGTTTCATTAACTCTTCTGATCTGAAATAAAAGCAGCAGCCTTCAACAGCTTCACCAGTATACACTCCTTTGAACTTTTTTTTGAATCGGCCTTTAATGTATGGATGAATGTAAATGTCTTCCGTTAATCATCCTCTCTGGAATTCACTCCAGTACATCATTAGATAAAAGAACTGTATTTTTTTAACAAAACTAACAAAAAAACAAACACCCCCCTCACCAAAAGCACAACAATGACAATGGTTTTCTTCCCCCTCAGACCCTCTCTGTAGTTTCCTACAGATCAGTACAAACACGGTTGTTTGTTTAACACCCCCAGGCAATCTTACTTGAATGGATTACTACACCTTTAATCCCAGCACATTAAACAACAAATATTGAAACTATTCTTTTGAATGTACTTATTAGAAGAAAATGCCTTCTTCCCAGTGACTTCAAATATTGATCCTTCAGTTCAAGGAATAGCTACATGGGCTAAAACATTGCTAGTAGGATCAGAGGAAGAGCAAATGGTAGCAGGTACCTACATGCTCCAAAAGGTGACCGTTAGCTGTTATGTTGCATGGAAGTTTATGGTGGTTGGATATGAAGAACAGTTTCTTCTCAGCAAGTGATGAAGCACTGGCACAGGCTGCCCAGAGAGGTGGTGAAGTCACTGTCCCTGAAGAAAAGGGTGGATATTGCACCAAGTGACATGCTCTAGAGCAGTCACAGGCATGGGTTGTTGGCTGGACTAGATAATCCTAGTGATCTTTCCAACCTTAATGATTCTGTGATTCCATGATTCTGTGATTTCTTACAGTTCCTTGCTGTAGTTATAAATAAACCTTATCTTTGCCTCTCAGAGTCCCCAAAAACAGTTTTTATGGCTGTTCTGAAATGCAAACCCAGCAGATCCTCTTAAACCCTTCCTTTTAAACCCTTCCACAGTGAAGGAGTTTGCCCACAGAAGCCCTTCACTGCAGGCAGAGGAATCTGCATGCGCCACTCCTCCTGTGCCTCCCCAGAGGCTGCCAAAAGGAAATTGCTGAGTGTTTTACAAATCAAAAGCAACATCTGAAATCCCACTCGGGCTTGTGAGAGCCATAGCTCAGGTTATATGCATTGTGAATCTTAGGGGCTATTAAATTCTAAACCTGCTTCAGTTTTGGGGCAGAAATGAAACCACAGCGACAGTGTTCCATGGGACAGTAATCTGTCCCAGGAAAGACAGGAGTGGGTGATGGCAGTGATGGCTGTATCTTTTACAAATGATCGTAGCCCTCACATGCAGGCTTTTTCGATTAGTTCCCCACTGATGCATACACAAGGTATTCTGCCATTCAGGCTTTTACACAGCTCAGCTCAAATTCCCTACAAATGGAATCATAGAATCATGGAGTCATGGAATGATTTGGGTTGGAAGATACTTCAAAATTTCAAGTTCCAAGTGCCTGTCATGGGCAGGGATAGATCTCATTGATTGGGATGGCCACAGAGAAGGCTCAGGATTCTCTGGGTGGAAGCCTCACATCTGGAGAGCAGCGGAAGGGAAGCCCAGGAAGATGGATTTTTACAGCCTCATCCTAGTTTATTGCAAGATAGCAGGTGCATATGGACTTTGGCCATCTCTTGTCAGCCTACACTGACATTTTAAGTTTTTATTTGCCTTCCTTGACCAATTGGGGTGGTGGCATCGTCAAAGAAACCAGCTTGTCTTGTGCCCAGAAGTTTATCCAAAAAAGACATACAGAGACAGATGTGTCCAAAAATATGCCCAGGAATATATATTCACCCTTGAAGAGTGTGTGGTATTTAGGCAACTGTTTTGGTTTGCTGAGAGTGAAAGATGAAATCTCTATTTCTTTCCCAAAGCTGTGGGTCTTGGGCTTCTCTCTGAAGTTTTGGCAATATCCAGTGACTTCGGAGTGTGGGACTGGTCTCCATAACCTATATAGAGCACCAGCTCACACATAGCAGCATCCCTGGCTCCTTAAGGGGAAATAGAGCCAGCTAAAGGCTTTAGCAGGTTATTTAAATAACAGATATTTTGAGGGGAGAAACAGGAACAGCACTTCAGTCTGAAGAAATCTCCCTTTCTCCAGAGCCAGCCAAATACGGGAGAAGACAAAGACTGCCCTACCCACATCCTGCAGCCAGGGACAGGCACACCAGCTTGGGAAATGTGACTGTTTTCCTTGGCAGCAACTTGTGAGTTAATGAATTCCCTAGGTTTCAAGGCAGTAGACTGCAAAAATGTGTCTAATACATCAAACACGTACAACATCTGTGGAGAATTTCTTTTCCCTTTGATTTACAGTTTATAAAAAGAACAACTTTGCAGTGACTAGAATAAATTCTAAACAATGAAAAGAAACCCATTCAGAATTTTTGAAGACAAAAATGTCAATGAATTGCAAAGAGAAAACTCAAAATTCTGTGTTATAATTGCATCATTGTTTTGGCATTATATTTTATGAATAATTTATCACGATAATTTTTACAGTAAAGAATACCACTGTTTATCTGTTGGATCTCTACTGGGTATGTCAAGTCCACTTTGGAGTTCAACATTTTTAGAATATTTCACGAAAATGAAGTACTGATACTTTGCAGAAAGACACAGAGATGCTTAAAAAACCTAAATTTAACTGACTGAGACTTAAAACCAAAATATTCATGCTGAAAGGGGAACATGAAAACAACAAAACATGAAAATGTGAAAGATGGAGAAATGCAATTAATACCAAGAACCTATTTAAAAAGGAAAAAGAAAAAAAAAGATAAACCGTTATTTCCTCCTCTTGCTACCGACTTTCTTGTAGCACTTTGCTATGGAAAACAGCACTTCCCTTCTCCATTCTCTCTCCAACCAGGCAAGCTGCCTCCTATGCTGAATGCTAGAGCATAAACATATGTAAGGAGAGATGTGAAACAAGCTTCTTCCATAAAAAACAAACTGAGAAAAGACAGCCCTGATTCTATAGCAGCTCTCAGAACAGGTATGTGTCCTTCATGTACCTCAGAGCATGCCTTATGTTAAGGTATTTGGCTCAGATGCACATTGTCCTATGGACCATGTCCTGTTAGCCAGTGCTGCCATATCCATTCAAGTTTGGTGTTTAAACAAGTAAGAATCCTAAGGTAGCATTTTAAGATCTATCTGTATAAAACACTCTGAAGCCTTTTGGAAATAACCAAATGTTGCCAGCTCACTTAATCCCAAAATTCTCAAAAGCTAGTTATGATCACATATCCACAGGTCTGAAATGTGCTACATGCAAAGACACCAGTAACATCTCTTGGACTGCCTTTTCCCTTGTTTTTTCTGGTATACATTCATTATACTATATAGGTATATATAGGTGTTCCAGACACCTGCACTTTTCAGCTACTGCATCCCCTAAAATTTCTGAGCCTTTAGGAGTCCCAGTAAATTCATTCCAGTTCCAGACGTGTTTTGTACTTGTGAACAACACTGCTGGGAGAGGAACCAGACATGCTCAAGCCCTCTCAAGATTTAACTCAGCAGCTGTTTTTCTTGCATAAATTTTCAAAAATGTGCTTAGCCCTATTCAACCCACTCTTTAGAGTCACTGAATGAAAAAGCCTCTATGTGAAGAGGTAGATTTCAAGAGGGAGATCAAACACAAGAAATCCAGACATGGAGAAAACTTTCTGAATGGAGAATATAAAGTAAAGTCAAATGACAAGTCCATTGCTTCAATCTTTGCATGTGAAAAATTATTCTACTGGTAATCAGAGTCATTAGTAGGGTGTTAGTGCTAATGCAGGAAAGTATTATGTATTATGCTTCTTAAATAAGGTCGTATGCAGGAAGGTGAACAAGACATGAAGACGCTGTTTTACTGGCCAATAGACATCCAAGCGCAAGGGCAGCTCTTCAGTTCTTGACAACTTTAACCTGGGTGTGAGCCTTCCCCGAAAGAGGAGGGAAAGAGATAGGAACTGTTCTCTCAGTTGGACCTCTGGAAGCCAAAAGATAATCTTTTGTTCTGTCAGGGCTTGGGAAGCATCCAGCGGTGCAGACAAATGCAGTGAAATTAATATTCTTTTCTGCTTCCTAAATCTGAGAAATGTGGATCTGTAATAATTCTGATTTACATGATGTAACTACATGAGGTTTCTTATTTAGAAAGCAGTTTCCTAAACCAATAATTTACACAAGTATCTCATCTGCATGTCAAAGTCCTCAGCTTAACATCCATGGTAAGTCTCAATAGGATTTCCTGCACTGAACCAGATGGTAGGTAGCCAGCCATTTCTTATTTGCCATATGAATTGAGGATGATAGTAGGAAAGAAGATTAATATTAAATACAGGTGTAAGATGAATGACTACAATTTGATTTTGCTGCCTCTAAATTGATTATCTGCTATGTATTTCCACTTTCAAAGTAATGCATAAGGGTGACAGTAAAATGCCAAACATAAAATATTGATGAAATACGAAGAAAATAAAGCTTTAAGTGCCAAATCACTCCAGGCTCTTTGGGAAAGTAATCATTCCTGATTTACAGCTATTAAAAATAGACATC